TTGTCATGTTGGAAGACCCAGCCACGACATGCATCTTCAATGCTCTGACTGAGGGAAGGAGGTTGCTGCTCAAAATCTCACAATAAATGGCCCCATTCATCCTCTCCTTAATACAGTGCAGTTGTCTAGTCCCCTTCGCAGAAGAGCACCCCCAAAGCATGATGTTACCACCCCCATGCTTCACAGTAGGGATGGTATTCTTGGGATGCAACTCATCCTTCTTTTTCCTCCAAACACGACGAGTGAAGTTTAGACCAAAAAGTTCTACTTTGGTCTCATCTGACCACATGACTTTCTCCCATGCCTCCTCTGGATCATCCAGATTGTCATTGGCAAACTTCAGACGGGCCTGGACATGTGATGACTTGAGCAGGGGAGCCTAACGTGCAATGCATGATTTGAATCCATGACGGTGTAGTGTTCTACCGACAGTGACCTTTGAAACTGTGGTCCCAGCTCTCTTCATGTCATTGACCAGCTCCTCCCTTGTAGTTCTGGGCTGATTCCTGTCCTTTCTTATCAGTGATACCCCACAAGGTGAGATCTTGCATAGAGCCCCAGTCCGAGGCAGACTGACAGTCGTCTTTAGCCTCTTCCATTTTCTAACAATTGCTCCAACATGATCTATTTTCACCAAGCTGCTTGGCAATTGCCCCATAGCCCTTTGCAGCCTTGTGGGGGTCCACAATTTTGTCTCTGGTGTCTTTTGACAGCTCTTTGGTCTTGCCCATGGTAGTAGTTGGCGTCTGACTGACTGTGGGTGGACAGGTGTCTTTAAAGAGCTCAGACAGGTGCTACTAAGTTAGATTAATGAGTGGAGTAGAGGTGGACTTTTTAAAGGCACAGTAACAGGTCTTTGAGAGCCAGAATTCTTGCTGTTTCTTAGGTGTTCAAATATGTATGTTCAGCAGTGCAAGACAAATAAATTCTTTAAAAATCATACAATGTGATTTACTGAATTTTTTTTTTAAATTCTGTCTCTTAGAGTGGGAATGCACCTACAATGTGAATTTCAGACCCCTCCATGATTTCTAAGTGGGAGAACTTGCAAAATCGCAGGGTGTTCAAATACTTCTGTTCCTCATTGTATAGTCCAGTGATGGCGAACCTTTTTGAGCCCGAGTGCCCAAAACTGCAACACAAACCAACTTTTTTATTTCAAAGTGCCAACACTGCAATTAACCACTTGCCTACCTGGACGCATTGACAGACGGCACTGATCGGTGGCACTGCTGGGCATCATTGATGGGTGGCACTGATGGGCAGCACTGCTGGGCGACACTGCTGGGCACTGACAGGTGGCACTGCTGGGCAGCGCTGACAGGCGACACTGCTGGGCACTGATGGGTGACACTGCTGGGCACTGATGGGTGACACTGCTGGGCATCATTGATGGGTGGCACTGATGGGCAGCACTGATGGGCGATACTGCTGGGCACTGACATGTGGCACTGCTGGGCAGCACTGACAGGCGACACTGCTGGGCACTGATGGATGGGACTGCTGGGCATCATTGATGCATGGCACTGATGGGCAGCACTGATGGGGCGACACTGCTGGGCACTGACAGGCGACACTGCTGGGCACTGATGGATGACACTGCAAGCAATCTCACCTCTGGCAGCGTCAGTGTGGCTTCCAACCCAGCAGCTCATTCCCATCCACGCTGAACACATTGCCCCTGGCCCCGGAGCAGTGTGGGAGCCTCTTCCTCTCTTCCGCGCCCATCCCCGGGTACATCACCCCTGGTGCCAGAGCCGCATTGGAGCTGTTTCCTCTCGTCCACGCCCACCCTGGCCCCAGAGACATGTGGGAAATGTAGTTTGATGGGGATCCAGCGTGGACGAGATCTGGATGGCCGGTCCATGCGCGCTCATCATCCTCTTCTTCCTGGCGTGCCCACTGAGATGGCTCTGCGTGCCAGCTCTGGCACGTGTGCCATAGGTTCGCCATCACTGGTATAGTCTAATCGGGAATACGATCTGTGCGCAGAAGAGAAGAAGGTATAATCTCTTTCCCTAGGGTGTTTCACTCTCCACGTATTAATTGACTTTGATGTAACCTCCTTTTCAACATTTTTAATTTTTTACCTCCCTCCCTCTGTGCACTCGAAGATGCATCCATCCATGGATCAAGAAAAAAATAAAAATTCCTGCCAGGATCAGACTACCCATCTTAAAATTCGTAATTTTCCCGATCACTTCTTGAAGAAATACTTATGGATTTTTGTTTGGGCATTAGATGTTAACCAATGTATATTTTTGTCCCTGCATTTTCCCTCTTAAACCTATATACCGACCTTCTGGGTCTACCAATTTCTCCTCAACCACAAAACGTATAATTTTTGAGAATCCAATTGCCACTCCTTTATCCCTCTTTATTGGTAAATCTGCATAATGCCATGGACAATACCTCAAGTATAGTTTGACATTGGTATCATAAGACAGGTGTGTCTCCTGTAAGAACACCACATCTATAGAATGCTGATGTACTTTCCTCAGTATCTTATGTCTTTTGGTTGGAGAATTTAAACCTTTAAGTCATAAAATTAATCAAACTCATGTCTGTATACTATTTGTCTTCTCCTCTACATTTCCATTTACAGGTAGGAAGACATAGACTATTCAAATCCTGGACAGCTAATCTCCACCCCCCATATACATAAATGTTTAATATCAATAGGCGACACTTTAAAAGCCTTTACAAGGTCACCAATTTATATTTACACAAGAGTTCTAGTGTTATAATTACTGCCCTCGATCTGACGTTCGCGGTGATACCTCACATGCATGATGCAATCTCTGTTTACATACCGACACGGGACGAACATTTGTGTTCGCTTTGTGCATGAGCACGGGAATGGGGGAGGGTCAGGGGTGATTTTTTTTTTTTACACTGTCCCTTTCTTTTTTTTTCTTTAATTTGATCACTTTGATTGTTGTTATCACAGGGAATATAAATATCCTTTTTGATAGCAATAGGCAGTGACAGGTATTCTTTTCTGAGAAATCTGGGGTCTATTAGACTCTAGATATCTCCTCTGCCCTTAAGGCATCTGATCACACCAAGATCTTGTGATCACATGCTTTCCCAATTTAAAAATGACGTTGTTAAAGTCCGGCAAAACAGAAATGATGAAATGCTAGTAGCTTCCAGTCTCTTAGACCATAGAGATGATTGGAGGCATTCTGGTCTCTGTTCAGCTCTATGGTCAGCCAGCTGAACTGCCGGCTGCATTCTCAGATAACACTCTGGGACAGGAGAGCCCAAGAAAACTGTGGAAGCTTTGCCGGGGGGGGGGGGGGGGGGGGGGGGGTAAATGCAATACCCATGTTGAGGGTTAGGCCCAAAAAAGTTTTAAATTCAGAAACTGTGGTTTTTATGCGAATTGTCTGGCAAGAGCTGAATTTGAGTGGGTGGCAATGTATTGTTGTGCGTATCAATTGTCTTGGCCCACAATCAATTGGTACAAGTCTTCCGTGAAAAACAGCGGAGGTGCTAAATGCTAGTGCTAGCAACGAATGGGGCCAATCCTGCTAACATTGCGGTTTTGAGTACACTATACAAAGCAGGCAAAAACACTATACAAATACAAACACTATACTAGTAATGGTGGTGATCAGCAACCTACAGCATGAGTGCGATAGTGTGCTGGCAATCTAACACTAAGTCTGGATAGGAGGGGCGTAACTGAACCTGATACTATCTGATGTCGCTAGTGGCACTAATACAGTGATCAGTGAAATATCCTGTATACTGACACTGTACTAATGGCACAGGCTGGGTGAAGGGGTGATCAAAGAGTTAATATGGGCAATCAAAGGGTTAAATGTGCTAATCTAATGGGGGCGCAGGTACGTTCACACCCTAAAATAGGAAGCGACGCAAGATTATGTTTTTGATATTTTGGGTAAGTGGTCAGCAAGTAGTTAAAAACAAACCTTAACTTTTTTTTGTAATTCTCAATATGGTATTTCTTAGTTTATTCTTTTAACATTTAAAAAAAAATGTAAATACTTTTATCAGAATAGTACAATGTTACCATGTTACCATTGTACTACTGTGGGGGGTGATCAGGGATTTTTTTTTACACTTTGCTTTGCAGGAGAAATAAAGATAATTTATCCTGCAATGCAAAGCTTGCTCTCATGAACCTAACTCATTCATGAACTGTCATGAATGAGTTAGGTTTTTGACAGCTCAAGATAATGATCTGTGATTGGCTGGATCTGGTCACATAGTACAGGGTGCTGTGATTGGCCCCATGTATCATGTGAGAGCTGTGGGCCAATCACAGCTCACTAGGAAGAGAAGCAGAGCTGTTATGAATCAGATTGATTCATAGCAGCTTTTGCTAACATTGTGATCATGTGATCGCATAGCGATCTCATAATCACTGGGTCCCATTCACCGGGATCTTCATTCCGCTGTGTACACCGAACATAGCAGTAGTGCGTGGGGAGCGTGCCGCCCTCCTGTGTTAGTACAGCGAGAGCGACATACCGGTACGTCGCTTTGCCTGCAGCTGCCGCCCGTCCGCAATACATTCCGGGCAGGTGGGAAGCAGTTAACCACTTGCCTACAAGGCACTTATACCCCCTTCCTGCCCAGGCCAATTTTCATCTTTCAGCGCTGTCACACTTTGAATGACAATTGCGCGGTCATGCAACACTGTGCTCACATGAAATTTTTGTACTTTTTTTGAGACAGATAGAGTTTTCTTTTGGTAGTATTTATTCACCTCTGGGTTTTTAATTTTTTGCTAAACAAACCAAAAACAACTGAAAATTTTGAAAAAAAAAAAAGGTTTTTCTTAGTTTTTGTTATAAAATGTTGTAAATAAGTGATTTTTCTCTTTCACTGATGTGCGCTAATGAGGCTGCAGTGATGGGCACTGATAGGTGGCACTGATGGGCATCACTGGTAGGCACTGAATGAAAGGCAGCACTCATATATGGCACTGATAGGTGGCACTGACTGGCACTGTTAGGTGGCACTGACCAGCACTGTTAGGTGGCACTGATAGGCAGCACTGACTGGCACTGATAGGTGGCACTGACTGGCACTGATAGGTGGGACTGAAAGGCAGCTCAGATGGTCACTGATACGTGGCATTGATGTGCACTGGTAAGCACTGATATCTGGCATTGATGTGGCACTGATGGGCACTGGCAGATGGCATTAATGAGCACTGACAGCTGGCACTGATGGACACTGACAGGTGGAACTGCTGGGGCTACACTGATCATCAGGGCACACTGATCATCAGTGCCCTGATGACACAGCTCATTACATGACTGAGCCAACGTCTTCAGCTCTTTCCGTCCAAGGGACACAGCGCACCACCGATCGCCGCGCGCCCCTGGAGTCACGCACGCTCATTAGAGTGGGTGAACGTCATATGACGTCCTCCCATAACGAGAGAACCGTCTTGCGCCCGTCATTTCCTTATATGGCGGGTGGGAGACGGTTAAATAAACACTGTCTCTGGCTGATAACATGTCTGTATGTAAACAAAAATTTTGTAATGCTGATTTAACCAGTTGCCATCCGCCCTATCACAAATTTACTGCTACAGGGCGGACTCCCAGCGCAAAATCACGTACAGCACCGATTACTCATCAGATCCAGGCCAATGATGTTTGCCCTGGACCTGCTGATTGGTTGTACCAAAATAAAGTTCATTCTGTGCCTGTGTTTACAGAACACAGGCACAGGAAATTATGCAATCTTCTCTCTTTGGAGCACATTCTGTTCCAGAGAAGAAAGCAGATCCACATGAGTAAAAGCAGCACACTTTATACTAAAACACCTAGTTAGGTCACATTTAACCTTGTGATCACCCCCCACTTAACCGTTTCACTGCTTTGTCAACAGTGTCATTAGTACCGTGTACAGATTTTTTACTGATCGCTGTATTAGTGTCACAGGCGACTTCAGATAACTTTAGCATCAGTTAGCATCCCTCTTAGATAGTGTCAGATTGCCTGCCACTATATTACCACCACACTTAACCCTTTGATTGCCAGGAACATGCTCACATACACACTATAAACTTCCATTGCTAATGTAGTGTCCTGATCTGATCAATATCTTTGATCAGATCAGAACTATACTAGCGTTCACAATAGTATAGTGTCTCCAAAAATGCAGCATTAGCAGGATCAGCCCCGACACCTGCCAGCACCTGCGTTTAGCCCTCTGCCCCCCCCTAGCAAGTGCAGTGTCAGTAGATCACTGTCATTTGATACATTACACACAAAACTGCAGCATTAGCAAAATCAGGCCTGATCTCTGCTAGCACTAGCTAGCAGTTCAAGGAGTCCCTGACAGCCAGGTACTCTTTTTCCCATGAGTCACAATAGGTACCTATAACTTTTGTGGCCAAAATGTCCAAAGAAAGGTACACTAGTGAAGAGGCTTACAGGATTCGGAGCATGTCAGGAGAGAGCGAAGGGGAAGCCTCACTGACAGAATCAGTCTCAGAAAACAAACCAGTAGAGAGCAACGGCACCCTGACAGATATCTCAGATGATGGAGTAGAGGTCCCTGCTAAAGTCAGGCATACCCGAACCCATGTTTTTTTCACAAAAGATCTGCATGGATTGATTGTGGACCAAAGCCTTTTATGTACACAACATTTTATCGCATGGAAATCTATTACGGTGTCAAAATTTTAGGTTTTTTTGGGCCTAACCCTCAATATGGTCATTACTAAAGAGGATGAGTCACGGTCATATTGGTCAACAGACCCAATTCATCATATGCCCATGTTCTCTGCTGCCATGGTCAGGCATAGATATGAGAATATAATGCCATTTATGCATTTCCATGACAATACACTCTGTCATCCTCAGGGTGACCCTGAATAGGATAGGCTCCAGAAAATTTGGCCCCTTGTAAATTACCTTAACTAGAAATTTTCAGATGTGTATATGCCCCAACAAAACAATCTGCATTGATGGGTCCCTCATTCATTTTTCTGGCCGTCTTGCATTCAAACAGTTTCTTCCCAGTAAGATTGCCAGATCTGGGATCAAAATGTATAAGCTTTGTGAGAGGGCAACAGGCTATATATATACTTGTATTTTTTGGCATTTACGAAGGAAAAGACGTGGACCCCCCCCCCCCCCCCCCCCCCCCCCCCCAGATGCCCAGACTACACGGGGAGCAGTGGCAAGATAGTTTGGGACTTGGTGTCACCCTTTTTATATATGGGGTACCACATTTTTTTTACATAGAGTTTTCACTTAAATCAGATATCATGTCGATGGCGATACGTACACATAACGATGCTCAGTGTCTCTCCAGATTTGCCGTATTTGTTCTTATTTATGCACTATTCTCCTGCATGCTCGCACAATTTAGTCATGCGAGTTATAACATTTGATAGACAGTTACTTTTGCGTATTGGTCATATCTGCACAAACTCTCTTTCGGACTTCATTTTTACTTTTGACTAGATACCACTGGAACTTGTAAGAAAGCCACTTCACAGCGAGCCCTTTATTTCGAACGGAACTGCTCATCAGCGTCAATGCCGATGCAGAGACCATAAACAGAGATGAGGGAAACATGGAGGACTTTGGGCTAAGCAAAAACTAAACCCACATTGACCAGGCGCTTCCTAGTATTTTTCTCACCAATGTTCGGTCTCTGGTTAACAAACTGGATGAGCTCAGGATCTGGATCCTCACACAGAGATTACGGACTGTAATATTATGGTCTTTTCAGAAACTTGGCTCAACTTTGGCATCCCAAACAGCGTGCTGGAGCTCGAGGGGCGCACCATTTTCAGGGCTAATAGAGAAGCAGCATACACGGGTAAGAGCAGGGGAGGAGGCTTATGCATTTATGTAAACAAATCATTATTATTATACAGGATTTATATAGCGCCAACAGTTTGCACAGCGCTTTACAAGGGAGACAGTACAATTACAATACATTTCAGTACAGAAGGAATGTGAGGGCCCTGCTCGTGGGGCTCTACAATATAAATCATGGTGCACTGTTTCTTCTCACTGCTCTGCTGATCTTGAATACCTAATTATTAAGTGCAGACCCTTTTACTTACCACGTGAGTTCAAATGCGTTGTTGTGATTGCAGTGTATGTCCCTCCAGATACTAAGGCTAGCACAGCCATGGAAGAACTTAGCTTTGCTATCAATAAAATGCAGATAATGCATCCTGATGGAGCCTTTATTGTTGCTGGGGATTTTAATCACTGCAATCTCAGATCTGTTTTGCCAAGGTTTCAACAGAATGTGTCCTGTTTCACTAGGGGACAAAAAACCCTGGATCATGTTTATACAAATGTGGCCGATGCTTACAGAGTTACACCCTTTCCTCACCTTGGACAATCAGATCATCTTTCATTGTTCCTGTTGCCTAAGTACTCTCCAGTTATCAAACATGTGAAACCCACAGTCAGGACTGTTAAAATCTGGTTGGATGGGGCTGACCTCACTCTCCAGCAGCAGTTCACACATACAGATTGGAGGAAATTTTCTACACAGGCCACCATTGATTCAGTCACCAATATCAACACCTACACCAACTTTGTTCTTTATTACATCAATAGCTGTGTGGATATGGTGACTTACACAAAAGAACATCATGGTGATTCCCAATCAGAAACCCTGGATGAAGCGGGAGGTTCGTGTAACGTAAATGTAAGATTCAAGTCGTTGAGATGTAATCTGTAGAAACATATTATTGTAGATTTAGTTTCATTCCATGTTAATAAAGATGTATTCAGAATTTGGCCAGAGACATATGGTCACTAATTACCATCTGAAAGGACAGAGCAGCTTCTAGACTGGAGGTGACACCTAGATGCCAATAAGACTTGTCACCTACATAGTCAGACTTTTTGGCTTCAGAAGCAGCGGGAGACCAAGAGAGGGCTCCGATGTGTCTAGGAGCTTTGACCTATATCAGCAGATCAAAGGAATATATTTCATCTCTCATAAAAGCTAAATTATTAGTTGCAGAGAGATGAAAATACTTTGTTCTGGTTGGACACACTGTAGGCTACATCTGTATGTAAAACTGTATTTGTAGCTTATGTAGAATCCCAGAGAAATGCAGAAAATGGTTATATGGCGCCTGATTGCGACAGCTGAACAGTGATTGGTACTGTCGTGATCGGACGCTGGTGCTGATGTTGGAAATTCAATCCCTGACTTGGTGATTCAAACCGTTCCTGTTCCAATCGACTTTGGGCATTTCAGTACCCAGAATGTCCTGTGGGCTGGTTCAAGAACACCCCCCAGAGTTGATTAGCCAAGGGCTAATGTCCAGCCTACGTCCATATTCCCATAAATTGAGGACCTGAAATATGGACAGGTTGATTCGTACGGAGCTGGTTCTATTGACTGGCAAATCGCAGACTTTCTCTGACTTGCTTCAGTCGCAGGATAACTCTTGGTAAAAGTTTTATTTCTGTTTTTATTCCCTTTTATTTTATAGTCAATAGCCAATTGTGTGTTTTTGCATTTTCTGTAACTGTTTTTCTTTGTACATATTTTATGCACTGCCCACTTTCGGGATATTAAATCATAAAATTAATAAGTGACTTCTGGGTACTTAAGCTCAGGCTCATATCTCCAGAGAGATTGTATTGTATTGCAGTGTCTTTATATGCTCGGGCAAGTTCATTGCCTATCTGTATGCAATTGCACTGCATGTTGGCAGATTGCATGCAGATCGTAAGGTAGATCTGCCAGACGGAGATCTGTGTGTGCGTGGTGGCCCAGCAGACCAGTCTGCGGACAAACGGTTGGGTGGCGGCAAGCTACCATTTGTTGTGTGTCTGGTGCGGGGGGGTGTGGACAGTGGAAGAGTGATTAACACCAGGGTTCTAGCTTGTAGGATAGCTGGAGGAATCCTAGAAGGGTGTGCCAATTGCTAGACTGCTCCCCAACCCTTAGCATGCACCAGATTGTATGTAAGGTTCACATCTGCCTGTGTGTAGTCAGCCAGCTGGATTGTAGTCTCCCTTTAGTGGTGGCCAGAGGTAGTGCGGGCTGTGAAAGTGTATCACAGCCAGTCTTATATATTCAGATATAATATATATATATTCAGAATAAGTCCCCCTCATTACCTCTTTACCCCAAGTCATGGCCGGATGAGCACGCCTCGGTTAGCTAGTCGCTGTGGGTTGAATCCGTGACAGTTCGTCTCCTGCTCAAAGAACGCAACACAGCCTTTAGGTCTGGAGACTGGGAGGCTTACAGTGTCGCCAGAACTAATCTGAGGAGGGGAATATGTAAGGC